ATCTAGAAAAGATGCGTCATTTTCAATACTTATCAATGATTGCCTCCCAGGTTTTTGACACTGAGCAGTCACAAAAGAACTGAAAACGATGACTCACGATAAAATTACTCCACAGGGTGTGAAGTGCTACAATTGACATGCAGAAGTCTCATCTATGCCAAATAGAAGCCAGAATGGAAGAAAGGGCCCTATTTGCTGTGGCAGTAGGACGTCTATGGCCCGTACAAAACCATGTTCAAGTGCCAAAGGGACCGAACGAGAAAGCAGCTTTCTCTTCCTGGAGAAGACTTAAGCATCATTAAGATGTAATCATCAGTACTTTTCCTAAACCCAATGAGAAATATACAAAGGATTTTTCTTTTCTGGTTTTTATTTTGTTTTTAAGCATTAAACAAGATGAATCTAAATAGCACATGAAAAGTAAGGAGAGGGGAAAATACTGAAAAAGAATATTAGCAAGGGACTTGTTCCCACAGATGAAAACATAATAGAAAACCAGCCAGACCAACTCACTGCCCCAAGTTGACTGTGACTCATGATGGGCTAGATGACAGGGGAGAGCGGCCCTTTCAGGCTTCCAATGCTGTACATCTTCACAGGAACAAAAACCCTTTTATGTACCCCGAAGAGCAACTGGTGGGTTTGAACTGCTGACCTTGTGATTAGCATCCCAGTGCATTGTCCACTATGCCATTAGGGCTCCTACATATTTTCAAAACTCAAACCAAATTCACTGCCTTTGATTCCAACTCTATAGTGACTCTGTAGGGCAGAGTAGAACTGCCCCTGTGGGCTGCCACGGCGGTAACTCCTTACAGGAGTAGAAAGCCTCCCTTTCTCCCTTAGAGAGGCTGGTGGTTCTAATGAGCTGACCTTGTGGCTAGCACACCAATGTGTAACCCTGTAATCCACGGTGCCACCAGTAACAAGAGCAATGGCAATGAAGATCCTAGCGACTAAAACAAATAGAAAGCCCATCAAATGTCCACAGGTGGTTAGTTAGATGGTAAAGATTTACCATTTTCAGATATCTGAGCCTGAGGCAGAATAATACATAAATGGAGTGGGAAGAAGTGGGACATTATCTGGGCTGGTGGTGAATCTAGATCTCCAGCACATTCATCACATCAAGAGAAATTCAAGGTGGTGCATATAAAAAATTAGATAATTTTTTTAAACTCAGAAAGTAAATCTAATAAACTACACAGTCTTTTGTTAAAAGAGGGGTTTAGTGCGTAAAAACGTGGCTAAGTATAAAAAGTCACAGGGGCACACGACTGGCTGAAGCTGTGGTACTGCTCCGGCATCCACCTGGGAGCCTCGGAGGTCGTGGGCTCTGAGCCGGGGACGGTAAAGCCTGGGGGGGACAGAGCTTCTCCGGTCACATGGGGAAAGAAGGGTAGAGCCCAGACTGTCTTAGCTCTTCATTCACAAGGCAGCGCCGCCTCCTCTGAATTAAGAGGCCCCACGGACTCCAGATAACAGACCACGGGCTGTGCCCTGCATCCCCTTCTATGGTGCCAGGCCCCTGGCCAGGGCAGGAATTCCCTGGTGTAATCTTTACTACAGCAGCTCATCTCTCTTCTCCACAGGGCTGCTGGTGGGGTCAAACAACCAACCTTCTGGCTGTCAGCAGAGCACATAACCACTGTACCACCAGGGCTCTTTTAACGTCCCTACTCCATCGGGTCATTGCTCCTGAGAGAGGGACTAGGCCGGGGTCTGTGACCCAGGCGAGCGGGGAGGCCTGATCTGTTTGATGCCCACAGCTGCTCCAGGGAAGTGTTGGGAGAGATGTGTGTTTCCAATTACCATATATACTTGTGTATAAGCCAGGTTTTTCTGCCTCAGTTGATATTCGGGTTGGCTTATACTTGAGTAGATATGGTAAACCTTTGTGAAGTTTTAAAATTGGATTCCACGTGTATGTATTACCTATTAAAAACCCCCACATTTACTGAAATTGACACAGACCTTTAAGAGATACCACATGCCCACCAGACTTTGAGGACAATGATCCAAATTAGAGCAGCCAGTCCACAGAGACGACCACATGGCCGGCCCCACTATGAGACATGGCGCCCTTCACTGACCCATGGCCCTACAGGGGACAGCACCAGAGACACAATATGGGAATTGCACCAGATCCGATCCCGCCA